CCCTCCTTGCAGGGAATCTCCACAAACTCCCTCCTTGCAGGCACCGCATGGCCCCAGCCAGCGGGGCTGCCCTTCAGGCACGTTGGGTTCAGACTGAGAAATCCAGAGCGTGTGACTGAGAGAAACCACGGCACAGCGACCCGAGGTGCTTTTTCTTCCCTGAACTCTCGGGCCAAGTCATTTCAGTCGAGCGCAGTCAAGGCGATGCAAGCCCCAGTTTCCATCCACCTCGCTCCTGCCCTTACCTCTCTGGAAATACAAGAGCTGCTTTCTGCTATTTCTGTTGCGGCCGACTGAATACACCTTGAATACTCCTTTGCAAAGTGAAGCAAAGAAGTTCTTTGGAATAAGAACGGTGGCCACGTGGTGCTGAGTGACTCTTTGAGGAGGTAGAAAAATTAAAAGCTCCCCACAAAACCAAAGCTATGCGCTCCCTTCCTGCATTCCGTGCAGGTCCAGCCCCACGCCGACACTGCAGGGTTAGCAGTGCCTAACGTGCCTCAGGAAGTTTTCTTCCTGCCTGCCTCTTCTCTCTAATTCAGCTAAGCCAAACGCCAAGGCTGCAGTCTGTGCTGTCCCACGGACCGAAACCTGACGCCTCCCGGGAGCCCAGGAAGGTGCAGGCAGCTTTCCAGGGAAAGCGGCCGCTAGGGAGCAGGTTTCCATCCTGAAGCGCTGCCGGCACTGGAAAATGAGCAGCAGTGGGAAAGGCCTGCTTTTCACCTCAGCTTTACAAATGCTCCTAGCTAGAAGCTTCTACAGTAATTTTCAAGAATTAAAACGTAACATAACTCTTCTAATTGAAAACCTATGAATATTTTTCATTAAAAAAAAATTGTCTTGCTTTTTGAAAGTGAATTTACAGCAAGGCAGACACATGGGTGATTTGCACGTACAAGGATATAAAACTTTGAGACTTTTGCACCCAATTCTGAAAATGTTCTGCCTRCATCTTTTACTCCTTATATTGCTGCATTTTAAGAAGGAGCACGAAAAATCATTACACTGCTTATCCTCAAAACCACTGTAACATAGGATGGGCAGGGAAAAATCTGGTCTGCTTTGGCTTTAAGGAGTTTTGCTCCATACAGAAGGGATTCCCTATCAGGGAGCTGAAGACAAGGYCTCACGCTCTAGCACACCTGAGTTTAATCCTAGAATTGGAGCCTTCGCAGTCACACCAGTAATAGGTGGCTATCAGAGCCCCCCTTACACGCTCATAGAGCATTCAGGTTAGAGGAAAAAGGGACTAGTTTATGTGCCACACACTGGCAAAAGCCAAATGAAGTGGTGCTTGGATCGGAGAGACACCCACTAGCTGTATTAATTATTCCTAACTTAAGTTCTAAAATGGATTGCTTGATCATTTAAGATCAGAATGAAAAGAGGACCAGATTTCAAGCGAGGAAACAAGTTCTAGCCCTTTGCTCCTACTGTTTCAATGCTTAATCACAAAGCTGCAATTCCCATCAGTTTTACCCAACTGATAACTAGGAAAATATTCAAATTAATGCCAAAGTAGAAAAATGCCAGGAAGATACTATCCGAAGCTGTCAGACATACCAGATGCTCTCTTCTTTATTAACTTCAGGTAGTTTAGGATGGTGCATCTTGTGTCCACATCCACTTCCATGTTCTCAAGGTAAGAGTTCAAAATYGGGATCAAACCAGGAAAGAATCCTTCCTGCAGAAGAGAAGAGAGTCAGCACGAGAGAGGCTTGGTCTCATTTTGGGGAGGGTGGCTGGAGGGCAAGGCRGGGACCAGGACCTTCCCGTTGATGATGGTGTCGATGCTCATGAGGGCGTACTCCTCCGTGTCCGTGCCGTTCTGCGCCGAGCCACAGCCGTCCACCACGGCGTTGCCACCTTGGGGTGTCACACCGGAGAAGGAAGAAGCCGTCAGAAGGTGCAAGGGGCCCAAGAGAAGGCGCGAGGGGCCCAGGGCAGCGGCAGCAGCGCTGGCAGCCAGCCCAGAGCGATACCTTTACAAATATCCTTCCTGAAGTAAAACTTCCCCTGCCGGACTGCATCTCTTTTCTGGGCCTCCTTCATGTTCTCATCCACCTAATAAAAGAAAAGTTTCACACATTAGGGCTGCCCAGACACTTTTTCTCCAAACATCTCACATTTTGGTCTCATTAGCTGGGAGACCTACTGTGCTTCTTACTCTTCCACCACACAAGACCAAGCTATGGAGACATTTCCCCCACCCCGGGTTCTTCTGCAGAACCACAGAGCGAATGCATTCCATAAAATTAGGTCACCAGCAGAAAAGGTAACCCGGTTATTAACTGGCTGCTATGTTAGGACAGGCAATGCTAATCTTTTAATTTTGAGCAGGAGCAGCTCTGATGAACAGGTTGCATCCCATGTGGCAAACTCCTCTATGCCTGTCTACATCCAATTTTAGCGAGCACAGAACAAGAGAACTAGCATTGCCCTAAGCACAGTGTGTTGCTTTCATTAACAAAATCACAGAAGTCTTTAGAAGAGTAACCACCACATTAGAAAACTTCAGAAACGATATTGCAGTAAACACAGGACTAGAATCATTACCTATTCCAAATCCAAATACCTATCAGGTGGCTAGATATGAAAAAAATTGCTAGTAAAAAAAGCTCTTAATTGTAGTATTCTCAAAAAAAAAAAAAAAAAAAGAGACAGCAGTGTCTAAGTTTTGGACTGGAAGATTTAGCACAGCGTTTGAGTTCCAGGTGCCTAGCTTTACTATGTCTTTGTCTTAAGACATATTTACTTCGTCTTAAGAAAAGAGGCCAAGACTTGCTGAAATCTTTGGTTTGCCACTTACGTGCAGAGCAAAGTATCCCTCATATTCTCCGCTTTCCAAGCTTTGTTTTCAAAAGCCTGCTCTCATTCATAAGAAAACGTTCAATACAACGGGTTGCTTTGGAAGATTAAAAGCACCCTAGCCGAGCACAACCGTAGTTGATTAGACAGCAGAGATTATTGTGAGATTAGCCCTATAAATCCTTATCCTTTTAAGCAGCAGAGGCAGGTTTGCTGGGGAYGGTTGTGCAACTCTGTGCCACAAAACGTGCCAAAGGGCTCTGCAGGCTCCAGCAACTTCATTTTTTTCCTCCAATTCTATTCAGGTTCATTCTCTACTCTCTCTTTTTCAGTCCTARCCAGTATTTTTTAGTTTTAAGAAGTGTCACTTTATTTGTGAGACATTCCACATGCACTGTGTAAGTGGAATACTCCTTAATAGTAAATTGCTATATGTTATGCTCATTATTTATGAGGACTGAACTCCGTGACTTCAGGAAGAGAATTCCTCYCCTTAGGCTTGGTATTATTTCAATCATTTATTTTTTAAGAATATATACAAATAGAATACATAATACTTCCGTGKTTTTTTGTTTGTTTGTTTTTTAATTTCAATCAAAACCAGTAAGAATAGTATCAGGATGCTCTTGGTACACTGGGGGACTGTCCATTTAATTAAAATTTCCCGTCAGGTGCCTCAGGAAGACAGGTAAGGGCATCTCATCCAGCAACTGTGCTGACAAGATTAAGGAAAAATCATTTGTGCTGCTGGTCCGTTAAAATGCCAGACAGTCACAGTTGTGACTGTCAAAGTTGTGACCAGCSTCAAGAGCTGTGTTCTCACTCAGATACTGTGTAACACCAACCATGCTGAACCTCTCCTCTCCCTCTCCCACAAATAAAAACAAAACAGRAAACAAGAACATGAAGCACAAGCCACAGCCATGCTAAAATAATTGCCTATGTGAGGTTTTATCTTTACTGCCATAGGTTATTCTCCCCATTTATTTCCCCATGCTGTAAGCGTGCCAGTCGCAGGAGCTTTATGACAATGGGCATTATTGTAATTTCTGAAGCAGTTAGATACTGTTAAGCACATGGAAAGTCCCCACAACGAAAGCAGCAATTAAGGCTTCAGAGAAGTATTTCAGTCAGCTTTCACACTGAACAACAAGGAAAAATGAAATACTGAATGGCTGCTGCACACAAAAACAAAGCAAAAGACCCTGGAAGACTCGCAATGAATTGCAGCAATGATGATGGCTTAATGTATATGTAAAAAAGGACAGTGAATGAAATGTGTACAGAACTGCTTCACTTGGTAACTATAGTATCATTTCTCCACAGCTTTTAAGTGTATTTATTTCCTTCCCCTTACGCAGCGTTTGCACAAGAAGAGCTGCCTGAAGCTTCACTTCTATTCTTGCACTGAACTGGAGCTGCTGCCTTACACGGAGAGTTAAAGCACCTGGTCACTGGTGCTGACCCATGTAAATCACTATTTTTTATTTACCACTGTCAGAATACACCACTGATTATTGTTGTAGGACAGATCTTTTCTACTGGATGCCATAAACACACATCATATGTGTCCTAACAAAACCCTTGCTTTGAGAGAGTGAATTCAATACAATGCTAAGCCTATGTATTTCAGTATATTAATGGGAGTAGAAGGAAAAAGGAAAAGGAGGCATAACTTTATATCAGATGTGGCTCTTGGAGGGAAATCCAGTGGGCAATGAAGGCTGAAGTTTGGCCTCCTGGGAAAAAGTTCATTTTGTAATTTACATCGAGTAACTTTTGATACATAGGGCCAAAATGGAGCACCCAGTAGGCAGGCAGACTTGCACTGCCATCAGTGCATGCCCAGTTCCACTGCTTTCAGGAGGAACAGGGAAATGGAGGCATTTTTGCCTTCAGGAGATTTTTTGACTAAATTCTGTCAAGACTGAATAAGGCTCTATTGGCTATTTTTAATGGARTCCTGAGAGGCAAACCAAAATTAGCTAATCATTTATAATTGCCAACAATTTACTATTTAGCTAAACTTAATTCTATTAAATATTAGTAAAACATTTGTTTAATATCATTGATTTGGAATTGACRGTAAAGTAATAGTCGAGATGAAAACTGACTGACAGATAGAAATGAGTATTCTGTTAAGAGCACAGATATTAATTCCTAGTGTGTGGAGGGTAAAAAAGAAACTCGACACAACTGCTTGGCTTTTAGCTCCTGAAATGAGATCTTTCTCACCTACCTTGGACAAAGGAATGAGGAAATCCAGTTTATACGACAGAATCACTCTGGTGAGCAGTACCACAAACACAACATAAGCCGAGTTTTCAAAGTCTGTTAACTGGACCTAGACGTGGAAAGATCAGGGATTAAATTACTTTAGTTGGAACATGTTAATAAAAATACACAGTTATCTGGCAGAGTTTAAAAACAGTCTGACTCAAATGTTCATGTAGATACCTGCAGTTCTGTATTCACAAGTGCTCTACTAGCTGACATGGTAACGTGCATGCTGGAACCATCAACACGGACTTCAAATGCACATCTCAGCACACACACTTCAACAACCCTTTAATCCAAAGCCAAAACATGCTCGAGTTTAAAAGGTTACCTAATAACCTGCAGCTCCAGGCTCTCTGTGCAATTACAAATGCATAATAGCTCTTCCATTTCCATTTTAAAAGGATGGAATTTAGAGAGCTCAGAAGCAGACAGCTATAAAATACAAACACTCCTGGAAAAACAAAGCAGTGCCAGCAGAATTGTTCAGTACCAAGAAAAGCAGCGAAGGAGGAAGGTTCCCAGGAACTCAATGTGCTTTGTTTACAGGCTTTTGACAGGAGCCTCGTTCCCGTCCTCCCACCTCGGCTGCATTCGCACGCGGTGCCTGTKCACAGCAGTTCCCCTGGCAGCTGCATTCCCACAGGCCCCGTTTGGTTCAACACTGCTCTCCACTCCACTTGCACGGAGCAATTCGGAGGGGAGGAAACACAGCCTCAGGAACAAGGGTTTGACACTGCACAGCTGAATGCCTGGTGCTTTTCTGCTCACATGTAACTGCTTTTGTGCCAACTGATTCCTGTCTTACCTCCATAGGCCTGAATTCCACGCGCCACCCGATATCGGAATTTGGAGGAGGTGGTTTAAATCTCATGGTCTGCCAGTTCGTAGACTGAATATTCTGCAAAGCACACGAAATCATCTGTCACAGTCAAGATAATGCGCCGTTCCATAACACAAACAAGGAAATTCAAACCGAGGACTAGACTCCCACTAATTTCCCCAAGAGCAGCCCACCAAATTAGAGAAATAATTTCAAATAAAGTGTCAGGACTTCCTGAAAGCCATAACATAGCTACCCATCCTAGGGTATGACAAATACAGCCTCCTTTCTTATAAGGTTTGAGAATTACATACAAGATTACTAGGAGGCAGAGAGTAACTGACCTTTTTATAAGGGATTGATGCATCCAAATCTACAAAYACTTATTATCACAGTTATGCTTTCATAAATCTGTATCATAAGAGATGCATTTATTTATAAATACATTAAGCAAAATGACTTTTGGCAAGCCATAAAAGATGACAGATCTCCATAACAACTGTCCACACAATTATGGGCTCTGTTTTACTAGATTTAAAGTATAAGTCACCATCTTCTCCTAAGTAAACAATGAAACAATATAGAAAAATACAGAAATAAGGCTGCTTATAACTGCGAAGTTCTCTAAGGAACTAATTAGAGTAACCAGAAAAAATGCAGGAAAAGATCAATAGTAGATAACATAGCCATCCTCCAACTGAGCAGCACTATGAAGAATAAGCAATTTTAAGCATATATTTATTAAATTGCTCTAAAGCAAACATAACCTCAAAATGGTCAGATTCATTCGCATCATCTAGGTGTATTTTCTCCTCAAACAAAGTCAGTGGGTCTCGAATGAACAAGTGTGCAATGTGCTGTGCCAAGAGGTGATCAATACCTGCAAAATGAGAACGCACAGAGCCAGCTCAGAGCGGGGCAGGCGGCTTCGGCCAGCGACACGTTTTGCAAGAGCCAAGCCTGAAAACATCCAATTGTGCAAGGCCACCTCAACCCACCACATCCTGTCAATGCTTAAACGATGACTCGGGGAGGGAAGGAAACGATTAAGGAGAAAAGAGAAAGTTCTTGTTTGGAAATGGCAGATGGACCTGGTGTGGCTGCCATCCTTCCTGTTCTCTGATGCGGCTGCGTCTCAAGGTGCCCGAGACAGCTCTGCTCTCTCCACAAAGGTAAGACACGAATGCATCAAACACTGAGCTTCCCAAGTTGGAAATAGGGGCAAAATTTCCATTAAAACYGCGATCTTTACTCTCAGGACCAAGCTACACGGATGCTTCCTAAGCAGGAGTCAGCTCTCAAGGATACACAAGGACTGAAACGAACACAAACTATAACTTAAACCAAAATATCCCCACGCAGTGCAAGCAGCATTCTAGACCTGCTCAGAACGAGGCAAACACTTACCTTCCTTTATCAGGTGCTCGTAGATATCTTTGTCTATTGTCAAATCAATGTCATTGTATTTCTCACCACATTCAGATAGATAACTGTCTATGGAATCATATCTGGATTTACTGATTCTATAATGGTTGTTCTTCAGTGGCTATATAATTTAAGAATACAATATTTTAACAGCTTGTTAACAATGTCACCCAACTTTTGCTCACTAATGACACTTATCTGAGAATTATTACCCTGCTTAAAGAAAGGAAACTACAGCTTCAAAGTCTTTCAAGATATTGAGTCTTCAAAATAAAAGGAAAATCCAGATAGAAACACGTRCATGTGCAAGGCAGTCTAACAGAATGATTCTTAAATCAGTTTGATGGARAGTCATCCTGAAATTAACTATTTTGCTTGTAGATTCATATTTGAATGACAAAACTATCCACACTTCAAAACACACTGGTTATACCACTCTAAAAATGTAACACAACATTTCAAAATAAGTATCTGGAAAATGTTATTACACCTCCAGCAACACACACCAATACAGTTTCATTAYGCAGATCTCACTAGAGATGCTCTTAAGCAGGGTATTTCCAGAATGACTTCAAGTAGCTTTATAAAATAAAATTATTATTTTTAAAAATGCAGATGTCTTGGATGTCAATTCCTGCTTAGAGAAACTTCGTAAATTCAAGCTCTGATGACTGGCTCCTTTCATGCAGTTCCCGTTTTATGCAGTTACTAGACTTTTACTCAGCATCACCTGCCACTTAACACAAAGCAACTTTTAGATGGAAAATTTAAATTTTCAAGAATGGAAAATTTCATCACAGACACTCTTTTTCAGCAAGCTGTGAAGACTCCAAGTGCACCTAACTAGAACAGGCTTTGCTACCMTAAGCTGTACAGCCCAGGGGAATGTTTACACCTTGTTTCCCAAGTGGTAGGTACCACAAGGGACGCACATTCCCTCACCAGGGACTCTGATGTCTATGTGCAAAATTTAACGCTACAGAAAATCAACCTTACTTACCTCCAGCCCCCTCTCCTCTCGCGTTCGATCATCGACAGAGGCCGAGATGACTCCCCAGCGACAGTCGATATCGGACACGTAGCCTCTGTAGAAGGGAGCGGCGGCGCTCAGGGCCATCTGAAACGAGACACGGCCTCACGTGAAGCCCAGGACAAACCTCGGAGCCACGGGGAGCATCCTGCTCTCGCAGCAAAGGGACACAGACTTCAGCTTAGCCCAGAGCCAAAGCCTGTCGCTTCACAGGTCTCTCAAAAAGCTATTGCTGGAAAAGAGCCACCTGGAAGGATAGTACTGCTTAAGAGGCATTTGCCATTCTCCAAATTATAATCTCCTTTATTACGCTGATGGGTCAGCCTTTTAGGAGCAAAGAGTTGAAACAAAGAAATAAATTCTGTTTGCACACCTCCAAGCTCCAAAACTTAATCATCATCTGGCCATCGTTTTATTTTGTGCAATCTACTGGCCACGCACCTTATCAGCTGAGCTGGAACGCATCTCACTCAAAGCTGGAGCTCACTGTGTGCACATGAATTTATTCTATAATACCTGTTYCTAGATGCTTATCAAAGGGATAGATGTAAACCGTTTAAAGCTGAAATTTTCCAGAGCATCRAACTGGTGTTGATACAAAAATCCTYAAGAGGAACAGAGGAACCCTTCCCTTTATTTATTTATTTTTAATTAAAGAAGGCTCCTTGTGCATGTGGGAAGAAGGAAAAAGAAGACAAGAAAAAGGCATCTTTACATTTGTGATATCACACACTTTTTTGAGGACTGCATGCATGTAGAAGATTACTTGGTGACTGTTCAGATGGGTGAAACTTCTCTGGGGTAGAAAAACTCCGTGACAGGTGACAGCACTAAGAGACACCGATACTTTTCCTGAAATACTAAATTTGTCTTTAACATCTAGGTCTTTCCTCAAACAGATCTTATCTTTTTACATCTGAGGTTTTTTGCACATTTAAGAGTCTATGGAATGAAAGTGCATTACTCACCACAATTGGACAGATAGTGGCTAGCTGATCATAGAGGTATCTCGCTTCAGAGATGCTGCAAGCCTGGAATGTTACCTGTTAGAAGAAGCACAACTGCAATTACWATCTTTATAATCTCAGCACAAGCTCAACCTGCCTGGAATTTGAGCTTCTACTAGAATCTATGATATTGTAAAAGGATCTTAACACCAAGAATCCTCAATGTCTTTTTGTGATTCTTGAGCAACCTTTGGCCCCATCCATCAGCGGCACTTCATTTCAGCRGCACAAAGACATTTCAGATGACAGTGCTGTGAGGTTAAAAATACAAACGTTTGCCAGAARCAAAGAAAAGAGAGCTAACATCTACATCACATACACGGGCTGGTAATTCAAGCTCGGGAAGCAGGCCAGGCACTAAATCACTTAAAACAATCGTCAGACTATTGCAGATGTAATGTTTGCTTTACATGACGGTTAATCCTGCTTTGAAAATTGCCATCATTTCAAGATGTCTTTGTCTGATCCTGCAACACTACGAAAAAATAAATAGCTTTGTCTCTAACTTCATTAAAAAAAACAAAAACCCAATTTTGSCTGTGCAAGAGACTCATACCCAAAGAAAGGTGGAAATGAAGCATTTGCAGACCACCACCACTGGTGTGAAAATCCCATAAGGAACTTGCTCAGAGCAGCATCAAACCAGAAATACATCTGCAGTATCAGACCTTTCCCTTCAGACTCCCCAAACTCCCCCTTTGCACAATTTTAAAATGCAGGGAGCTCAAACACCTCCGAGTTGTTAAAAGAGACTAAAAAGATTAAGTAAGAGTCCTCAACTTTGGTCTCTCGGTTTACATATTCATAGATCACAGGWTAATTTAAGTTAGAAGGGACCTCTAGGCCACTAGCATGACAGGCTTGAGCTCTAAAAATTACTGTTGCTTTTTGACTTGTGAAAAATCCAGCTGAACACACACACACCCCTAAGACTTTAAGAAATGACCATTAATGAGCCCTGTGAAACATACAGGTTCTTCTCAGTTCTTTACCCAGCCCTGAAGTCTTTCCCATGCTCCAAATAAATAAACCTCCTGGGCTTAGTGGGACACTTCTGTCAGTTTTTCCAGCCTGTAGCTAATATCCCTCAAGAGAAAACATCAAAACTAGAAAAAGCGTATGAGGCAAGGGAAATATTTCTGCTGTCTGTCCTTCACTTGGCTACCAGGAAATATCCACTTTGAAACAACCCAACTCGAATTCCCTTGAAGAGAAGCCTAATTTGGGCCTTCCAGAGCGACRGAGACAGTCTCAGGCTGGGGCTGCAGTGTCACATCCTCCCGACACAGCTAAACGCTCCTCCTCTTCCCCTTTATGTTTATTCCAAATCGTATTAACACCAGGATTTGACTCGGTCACCTCTTAAGCCAAACATCCCATTAGTTAAAAACAGTCCCCCCGAGAAGAGGGCTCGTAGAGCCCCACGAGGGGTGCAGGAGGCAGCACACGGAAAAAGCAGGAAGCTCAGCATGGAAAGGGCAGGAATACAACAGTTTGCCCAGTAAGGAGTCTTACTGCACCTACCAGCTTTATTTTCCTCCTCCCTTTGGCAATAATAAGACTGCTGAATTTGTGCACTGGTTATGAGGATGTGAATACTTACTTGCTATTCCATAAATGGAGGCTTAATATAATTTTAGACATGTTCATCTGAAGACTGAAAGATAAGGCTGAATTTCTTTAAAATAAGAAATAGGCCATATCAAAATGAATACCATGCAAAAACATGCAGTATTTTATACTCGATCAGATTCTCCCTAGCTCTTCTTAGTGAGAAGGAATTGCCGTTTGCTGCTCTCAAGAACGTTTTGTTTATTCAGCTTTTTTAGCTTCTTAGTGTCAAAGAGAAGTGTTTTCAATGGGGATTATTTTTATCAATGTTGTGAAACAAGAAGAGCTTGGAGAAGCGCTTTAATCCCCTAGGGAGTTAACACACTAGCCTCTTTCCTAGCTCTGCTTCCAAGACAGCAGTGGCAACAAGCAGTTGTTTTCAACACTCAAAATACACTGCCAATTCTTAAGCCATCAGCCCCAGCATCCGGTTGCTATAACAGGTTGTTACAACCTTTAAAACAAACTGCTTTTGAAAGGATTAAAGCACCCCCAAAGCACAAAGCTTGAACTGAAAATGAGGACACTGCAAGATACTAGTAACTCRGGCAAAGAAATGAGAACTGTATGAGGAGGGCATGTACACTGAAAGGGACAAACCAAACAGAAAATGCCTCCCAGCTCCTGCTAACACAAACAGCTGCCCACATGGCTTTGGTAGGCTCAGGGAGCCAGCAGCAGGAGAAAGTTGCAGAGCAGAGAGCTAGCAGTATCAAAATATAAGGAATTGTGTACAGGAGATAACTGCTCTTGGTAAGGAGTATAACATTACTCTGATGGAGAAAGCTACTTACTTTTTAAAGGTGACATACAATTTAAGAAGCTCCAATTTAAGATGATGTGTTATTGCTCACTTCGTGAATAGGAAAAGTTGTTATCAGAAAATAAAATAAAATAAAATAAAATAAAATAAAATAAAATAAAATAAAATAAAATAAAATAAAATAAAATAAAATAAAATAAAATGCAAAAAACCCTGTGTTTTAAAAATATATTACCACACGGAAGATCAAGTTTGTTGTTTTATGCGTCTTTGCTCTGCTTTGAAAATACATGAACTAAACTAACCTAAAGAGTATAGAGAAAAGGCACGTTTGAAAAAGGGCACGGTTTAAGGGAGGTAACATCCCATTACACCTTAAAAGTAGATGCATTTTACCTGAAGACAGCAGTTTCCCATTCCAAACCCCATAGCGTCCATATATATATAGTCGGGTTTAGCTGCTCTTGCTGCTTCTCCATCATCATTAGGAAATGTTTCTATAAATGGGGATGGTGTGTTCTTATCTTTAAAGACTGTGTGGAAAAACACAAGCACTCAGTAACCCAGGCGATCAGATTGAACATTTTTAAAAAGAAAAGAAATTCACTCACTTGGTACATTTATCACAACCTTCTCTCCTCTTCGGTGCCGGATATTTCTGGTCAGTGTACTAAAACAAAGAGAGTTTGCTGAAACATATTGTCATATTTAGTTGCTCAGTAATTTTCAGGATGTCAACTTGTCTGATGAATTTGCAGCATTTTCCCTCAGGACTTCTCTTTCCTTGGCTTACAATAGACTAAAACAACACTGAATTCTTCTTCAGCAAAGTCAGTCCTACTTTGAGGGACTTCACTGTACTAAGGTGATTGAACAGGGAGAATTAAAAGGTCATAGACCTGAAGAAGAAAGCCTGGTTTTCAAAATGGAAAGATTTTCTCTCTCCTAAGTCTTACTTTAAAAATCAAAAAACCTTCCAGTTTGATACCATGTAACATTTCAGGGCAAGTACACTAAGCTTAACACCACTGTGTTATTTCCAGAATAATGTTTTCTGTCATCTCCAAAAGAAAGCTGGTCTAGCTGTGGAAAAATTGCTTAACTATGGGATTTCATACAGGAACCCATTTTGCAGTAGCAAAACCAGTAGCACAAGCCCCATAGGAGCACGGTCACAGAATCACAGGAGGGTTAAGGTTGGAAGGGACCTCTAGAGATCAACTTGTCCAACCCCTCTGCTCCAGCAGGGACACCCAGAGCACAGAGTTCCCTCTCTAGAGTTACTTAAGAGCTTACTTTAAGTCACTTTGACAGAAAATGCACCTCATCACAGACCTCCTCATGTCCTTGGGATATGTACAGCTACTAGCCACCTAAATATTTTAATAATGTAAGGAAGTGGCAGGTATATATATTAAGTTTATACAAATAGAAGCACCCAGTTTCTCCTTCCCACTGCCCAAATACTCTTACCTAAATCTAGGATGTTTATTGATGGCTTCATCTGGAAAAAACAGGGATTTTGAAGCTCCTCCTTCTACTGGTGTTGGCTTATACTCCGGCAGGGTAAATCCAGGACACCCCAACCTGTATCACACAATAACGTGAGTCCAAGTCACAAACCACAGACTATGATTTTAAAACTATGAGATGAGTTCTGATTAGGATTGTTGTGGGTATATTTTTAAAGGCTTGTACTCACTGATGATCTCTGAGGTGCTCTTCAACACTCTTACCTATCATCTAGACACCCAGAATTGCCAGCAAGCAGTCTTAAGACAACTGCCATTAAACCATCAGTACTTGTTAATGACAGTTAGAACATATACATATATAAATATATATACGCACACAATGTGTGTGTGTGTGTATATACAATAGCCTACAAGACTAGGCTTGTGCACACACATATATACACACAAGTTTACCTGTTTAAAACATTTATCCACCACTGGATGCTAAACCCAGACCTTTTAAATGCCTGAAGCAGGGAACTTCAATATTGTGCACAGGATGCACACACATATTAGTGTGTTAGCCCCCATCGTTAATACTGACACGTAGCATCACTTTGTGCCTTCATCTCTTTCTCTAGTGAGTGCTGGTTAACACTGATTCAGTGAATAATTCACCAGTTCCACTCCCAGCAATCTACTTCTGTTAAAAACACCTAACCAATCTGCTCCAAAAAATTGGAAGCCATTTCAAGTGTTAACACACATGCCAAGTGTCACCACTCTTCGTGACTTGGTAATTTTGAAAAACKTCCTTGCATCTCAGGTTTGTCCTGCTGATGGAAAAGTAGGCCCCAAAGTAGGCCCCTCTTAGGCCCAAAATGCAGAGAGGTTTGCAAGTAATCCAGTTCCCTTTGGAAGCTCTGCCGAAGGCTCAAGAGTCACCGGAAACCAGAGCAAATAAATTGGCAGCCCATTTGAAACACGAGAACATCAGATAAAATGCAAGTGAAGATGCAGAGGACAAATAGTTCTGTGCTACACAGTATATAGGCTAGGAGATAATAGACACAAATAGGTCTGAGATAGGAGGAAATACGTTTGCATTTCTGAAAATATTATTTATAGTCAACCTAAGTTTCACTTTCAATCTCTTCTTCCTGGCTTAAATAAATTGCCTTTTTARTTATCTTAATAGATAACTAATAGAATAAGCCACAAAGAAGCTGTTGAACTATTCAAAGTCCCCTCCTGCAGTTTTTACGAAAACGCTGTTTGCAGTTTCTGCAGGAAGGGTTCACAAACTTGGGAACTGGATACACGCTGACTATCGAGTTGGGCAGGGACTTGTCCTGACATCTGTGGTAAATCCCAACCATCCAGCACTTCCGCTACTGAAAAATCAGGCACGTCAGTGCTCAACCACCACTGCATTTTTAATATTCAGGGATTTGAGGGGGGTGTCATTTATTTTAAACTCTATTTAGTTATTTTAATTCAAATAAACCCACTCTTTACCTTTGTTAGCACTCTATCTAAAGTTTTTCTTTGTCCTTTAAATGGACAAGCTTTTTATAATATATAGACAATTTAACAATAAAAAAAATCTGAAAAGTTATTTAGTGAGGTTTCAAGTCAAACAAACAGGAACTTGTAAGTCAGGATGAATGGCAAAACGCTATTTAATTTCTTATTTCTTATTCCTGCCTATGGAGGAGGAAACCATACTTGGGATGATTCTTAAGTCATAAACAGCTTGAACATTTTCTTATTTACTAAATAAAAAATTATTTACTAAATATAATATTTACTTATTTCACTATATCAAGTCCCATGCATTTCTAACATGATAAATAATTTCATTAAGCATCTGTCTGTATATCTGAAATTATTGTATACAAAATTTATTAACCTGCGTTTTCTAAGCTTGCAGGGCAAAAACAAATGTCAATTCAAGAATATGCCAACTCTGTGTGTGGCTAGTTTACAGTAATTTACTTTCAAGACTTTTAATACAAAACCTTACAGATTTAAGATAACCTACAAAACTCAAAGATGCCGGTTAGTTTCTGCCTCATGAAKACAATTTTTTTTTAAGGAAATAAGAACTACAAGTCAACTTACTGTAACTGAATCACGCTCTGCACAGTTTCAATGTACAGTGTAACTATACAGTGATGGGGAGAGCAGTGCAAACGTTCACCACCACAGAGCCTCACATCTCCCAAGCAAGCAGCCATCTAACCTTGGAAAGGACGTCACGGTGCAAACGGCCTCGTTTTCTTTAAGCACAGAAGCAGCCTCTTGCCTTCTTTTCCTCATGTTGTCTTGCACGGTATTGAATTCCGACATGGTGCCCCCATAGGGCTGCCCAGGAGTCCCTTCAATCATATAGCTTCCGTACTCTGGGCGCCAGAGYGTTGGGTGACTTAAATAAAAGAACAGCCTTGCTTAAATACTTGCACAGCTTCAACAAGAGATGAATTATTAGCATGAATTTCAGCAGAAGAATGCAGTTTATAAAAAATAGCATCTAATAACAAAGCTGATTATTTTGCAGAACTAGACCTGCTGGYAGTAATTTCAAGCACAAAGTTTCAAATCAAAGAAATCCTTTCTTCTGTGCTTTCAGTATTCTCCCTCCTTGATATGCAGGGAGAAAGGTAGGAAAGCCTTGCAGGACAGCAAGGGCTTAGGCTACATGGAAAGGAGATGACAGAGCCCATCATTGCTATGGAAAAGTCTCTCTGCCTCCTTGTAATCTGTAACCTGCTATTGGCTCTTCTAACACCAAAACATTCCACTGTCTCTGGTCTCATTTCTCTGCCCTGGAAAAACAGATCTGCCACCACCAATTAAAAGGCAATTCACCATTCTCTGGATACTTTAACTAGTGATAGGATCTAATTATTTCCTAGAACTATTTTGCCTGAGATGCCCAATGTCAGGCATAAAGAATACGTGCAGAGGGACCTCCTTCTGCACCAGGTTCTGCCTGCTGACAGCTAAGGCCTGTTTGCCCCTCCTGTCTGTTCTCCACAAGAGAGCTGCAGGAAAAGGAACTGCAGCAGAAAATACCCCTCTGATTTTGGTTTTCATTTTCTTACCTTGGAGAAAATTAGGGTTTAAAGAGTTTATCATTATATCTTTATTTTTTTTCAAGGTGCATCAGTATGTGGGCCATCTGTGCAGCAGTATGTGGGCTGTGTTTGTAACCTTGTGCTTCCTCATGCCCTAGTTTACCTGAAAATGTTGCTACTAGCCCCTTCCAACTTTACTGAGAGCAGTACTGAAAGACCTGAAAGCACAGTTAGTTCTACAAAAATATGTACACTGTTGTAACAGGAGGAAAAAGAAAAAAAAAACACACACGTCAAAACAGGAAATAGCTACTTACTTGGGGTTTACCTTCTCCCCTTTGTCTTGCAGTGTTTGAAGAACTTCTTCACCACAGAGCACCAAGCGAACCTTCTTATTCTCGTGGTCAAATTTCACTAGCATATATTCCACCTTTTGAAAATGAGAAAAACAAAATAAGCAGTTGAACAGATAGTATTTTGTTCATACATTCATATGTTCATACACATAGTCTCAACTATCAAAGAGATGCTAGAGGTCAGGCTGAATTTCCATTTTTACTGGAGCTTAAAAGCAGTTTACTAAACAATAAACACAGGAGATGATAACAGGGTAGCATACTGCCAATGCTTATTTCTTTTTGAAGAAAGAATTGAAATTCATTGAAAAGAGCCTTGACAATATTTCCCTCCATTTCTGACTGAGAATATTATACAGAAAGACTCCTGAATTGATCTTTGCTTCTTTTTCAGACACACATGCACAAAACATGCAGACTATTAATCACAAGTCGCTCTGATGCATCTGGAGTTGAAGTATCTGCAAAAACCCCTACAAACGAGACATCATATCAAGATAGTCATTGAACAAGACATTATATCAGTCACTCGTAGAAGCTATTTAAGGCTGATATGACAGACGATCATTCATGCCCCCGGAAGCCCCTGGCTCTAGGGAATGGTGTCAGTCCTGCTGCCGATGCTCTCTCGCCTTGATCCAGCACAGAGGTTTCTTCCTGTTCCCGATTCAGCTTTCCTGCCACAGCGTTTCTCCCCTTACTTTCTACTTTTCTAGAGCAAATTGAAAACACAAACTTAGCAGCTGCCTTGGCCTTACAGAGCCTCAATACCTACCAATATAAACCCTGACACCCACCCGTCAGGAGGTAAGTCCTGCTGTTTTAGGAGCTCTGAATGACAAATAATCTTCAAAGTATGTTGCTTTGCACATCAAGTAAAAGCAGAAATTGTGCATGGAAATGCCAAACAGGGCTCTGCAAACTCCAAGTTGAACCAACTGTGACACACAAATCCTTTGGCCGGAGGCTCTGGAAGCCTCCAGCCTCCAGGGCTTCCACAACTCACCTAACACCAGCATCAAGTTGTAGTTATAAATTCCAAAGCGCGACTTTGCCAAGAGTTACAGTGCAGTTACTCACAGYAACTCTTCTTGTACACAGGTCAGACGTGCACAGTTTTCCAAARCACAGGAAACTTGCCCGGTGTTTTCCAGCAAACTGTAAACAGAACTGCGGTCGGCTAACGCTGTGATCAAGGCAGCGCTGGAAGACGGGTTCCTGCCAGCTACAGTGACAATGGATACAGCCATGCGGTGGGATTTGCAATTCCATCTCAAACAGCATTACCCGSGAGTGTTTGTAACGCTACACAATTTGATTAGACAGAAATCCTTGAGGGACACACTGAACAATTATATGTGTTTTGAAGGTTCTCTCTTTTTAATCAAATCTTAATCCTCTAATGAAAGTAATGATGTTATTGCAGTTTCTGCAAAAGGTGGCATTTCTTTGTGTGGTTTATTTCATGGTTTGTTTATATTATGCCACAACAACCTATCTGAAGTAACTAGACAGAACAGCCAGCGTGCATTCGGGCGCCAATTTAGTTTTTATGTAGTACCAGCCACTCTCAAGKAACACTTGACTTGAGATCCCTGGCAATGAAAAGGCACCTCTTCCACAGGCTCCACTACCCGACACAATTGGCATCTTCTGCTCATCCTCCAGTGAAGCTTTAGCCAACTCATCCTCACTTGATCCCAGTCTAARCTCCCCCAGGTAGGTTAAGCACACAGCTCTTCCAAGTTGTAGAGGCAGATACTATATGACTGGAGGTGAAACCCGCTGTCCTCCAAGTCYCCCAGCACTCTGCCCTCCCTCACAGCACTGCCTTTGCTGACAGGCAACACGAGGAAAGGCCAAAGAACCGCAATTCTCATCGACTCTACTGGGGGACATTTGTCCAGCAGGCACAGACAGGTCACGTTACTGAGATTTGTCCACCGCCTTAAAGGAAATCCCTCTCCAAAGGTCATTACAACAAACCAGTAGTATGAACGCTGTACTTCTCTRTAACTACGCTATTAAACACCAAGTTTAAAAGCTATGCGAAACAAAACATGCCAAAAGCATAAAGAAACACCTAGCTAGGGAGGCAAAAACAAGGAAGTCAAAATATTTCATTATCTGAATGTGCAAGTGAACGATTTCCACTTACACATCCAGCTCTAGAAACAACTACAACTCTTGCCCCTGGAAACACTGACTAATCCTTCAAAGCTGTCTTAACACACAAGATCTGCCATTAATTTTAATGAAAAAAGAAAAAGAAAACTTCAGAGAGCTGCCAACAATTCCAAACAACCCACAGAGTATCTTGCCAACAGAGAGGCTGTCTGAATGGGCATCCTTAAAGAATTTAATTTAAGCGCTTCAAAAGATTTAGCCTACAGCTAGAAAGATAGCAGCACACTCAGAGTTCACACATTTTTACATTTAACTTCAGCTCTTCATTCACAGGCCTTGTGCATGCTTTTTAACCACAATAAAGACCGAGAATTGCAGCCAAGCTGTAAGTATCAACACGCCAGCGAGAATTTCCAAAGTCTGAGAGCCAAATACAGGGGTTTTCATCCAGCATTTTTATTTCTTCATTTTGCTGAACACCTTTATAGTTCACTCTTCTCCCCAAGTTTAGCCTGCCTAGCAAGCAGGAAAACACAGCTCAGGTCAAATTACACATGAGGAGGGCTGACAAGAAGCCTTGCGGAACAGTCTGCCAGGGAAAGCACCCCCTGCCATTTTAAGGCGGTCRCTTTGTACCTGCATGTCCAGCACGCTTTTTGACCCCCAAACACGGCATTTTCTCTCATTTTTGCTATCTCCCCCTCTGTGTGGTGCGCGCGGAGACGCTGGTGAGGCCGAGGGG